TATATATATATATATATATATATATATATATATATATATATATATATATATACATATATATACATAAAGAGAGAGAGAGAAAGCGAGCATTGGGACTTATGAATGTCTTACATCAGGGCCAGTCTTGCACAATCAAAATTCATTTCAGCCTCTTTTTCCACTAAATAAAACTTATTCAGAAAAACACAAAACTTGCCTGAAAATTGAAATAGATATAATAATGCAACTCCTATTATTTAAGTGCTATACATTACAAAGTGTTTGTTGCATTGTGAAATTATAGAAGTATAAATATTTATCTTTGGTAATAAAATTACTAACTAGAATTATAGACACTTGACATTTATGAGTGTTTATATATATATCTTTGGACATGAAGAAGAGAAAAACATTTATTGTCTAACCTTAAAGTATCATTTTCTTCTCATTGCAAAAAAACAGGACATGAAAACTGCAAAAATGAGCTGTTCCTGTTGTGGTTTGAACTATAAATATTAATTTATATGGTATTTGTGGCCAAAGCAACAAAGAGCTACTGCAGAGGAACCAAAGATCTGCATGTGGCCTCAGAGCTGTATGCTGCAGACCCTTGTCTATTATCAGTGGATCATTAGATGATTGCATCTTGAATATATTTAAAACTTTCTTCATCAGAAGTTTCTGATTAACTACTGGTGAACAGCACTTAACTACTAATGACTCACTGCTTATTGATTATGTAAACATTAGTTCTGGTTTGTGCAATCAATAAGAATTGTCACCAAGTGATTAGTCATTACAGCACCCATTAATTATTACTGGACTGAGTGAAGCTTTATAAGCTTAAGCTTTATGAGAGCTATAGTGAGTCATTACTATTGCATTACTGTGTTATCAACTAGTGGCCCATGGGCCTTATTCAGTCCACAAGCTCATTCCTTCTGATCTGCAAAATATTAGAAGAATTAAAAGTTAAAGACGTAGTAGTCAGTGTGCTCATGCGCAACATAAGATCAGACCTTATTTGGACATATACGGTAGTGACAAGAAAAACCTGCCACCAATCACTGTTGGAACTTTTCATTCATTCAACCTTTATTTATTCAGGTTAGTCTCATTGAGTCACGAGGACTCATTTTCAAGAGAGACCTGTTTTAAACAACAACAACAAAAAAAAAAGCAGATGAGGTACAGATAACAATAAACAACTGTCACGCTTTTTTACACAGCAGGATATGAAAAGTGTGTTGAAACAGGCCCTGGTGAAAGATACTGACGTTCAAAAACAGCTTTAGCAGTTTTTGGCAAACCTTGTCAAACATCACGTGAGAACTTAAGAAATGTCATGCTCAGAGTACGTGTCGTATGACACTCTGGCAATAGTCGTATCTAACTCATAACTCTCAGGCTGTTTTTTTCCTGTAGATATTTTTATAGGTTTTCAGTATTTTCTACGTACGTACAGTTTATGCCCAGGAACTCACAAGTAAAGTCACAACCTAAACTTCTCAGTCTGCCAAGAGATGGAACATTAATAACTTATAAAACATTGCGGCATATGCCTTTTTTGTAATAACAGAAACTTTAAAACTAAGCATTTAAAAAGCGTTCAATGCAAAAACAACTGGATTTATTTGTAACAGAAGACGTTTCTGTTACAAATAAAGTCCAGTTGTTTTTGCATTGAACGCTTTTTGAATTCATCATGTCCTGGATGACTGAGAATCTTGACCAGCTTAAAACTAAGCAGTTATAATCACCAAAAAGCTGCTAATCAATGGCCTGTTGTTACAGTGTCTGGTTAGGTCAATTTTGTCCACATTTTATTGACCACCCCTGCATTACTTCATGAAAACTGTTCAGTTTCTGAAGGAATCTCCCTTTTCTTTCTGTAAGAGTTTTGCTGATGTACGGTGGCCCAGAGGTTTAAATTATTTTGTTTTTTTCACCACTTCCGTTTTTTTAAAATGTTGTATGTTGAAACCAGGGGTTCTCAAACTGGTGTCCCTGGACACCCGGGGGTCCGCAAGCCAGTCCTTGGGGGTACCGCACCATCCAAAAAACCCAAAACACACACA